CCATTTTAATGGGATTATTTGTTTGTTTGGGCTGAGTTGTGTGAATTCTTTATATATTTTGGATATTAACCCCTCATTGGACCTGTTGTTTGCAAATATCATCTCCCATTCGGTTGGTTGCCTTTTTGTTTGGTTGTCAGTTTCTTTTGCTGTGTAGAAGCTTTTTAGTTTGTTACAGTCCCATTCATTTATTTTTGTCTTTACTTCCCTTGCCTTTGGGGTCATATTCATAAAGTCTCCCCTAAGACCCAGGTCCAAAAGTTTAGTCCTGTGCTTTCTTCTACGTCATTCACTGTTTCTGATCTTGTATTTAGGCACGTGATCCCTTTTGAACCGATTTTTGTACATGGGGACAAACTGCGTCTCGTTTCACTCTTATGCATGTGGCTTTCCCCAGCACCACTTATTGAAGAGGCTCTTTTTTCTCCATTAGGGTTTTTGGCTCCTTTGTCAAAACTTATTTGTCCACATACACGTGGTTCTGCTTCAGGGAAATCGAAGTATTTTATAGCTGCCTTAGCCAGAAAAGCAGACTGATCTCAATATTTAAAATCCAGCCAGGAAATGTATCAAATCGTCCTCATAAATGTTTTTCAGCACCTGCTAAACATAATCGACATAGATGTAGCATTTTGCTTCTTTAAAGAGAGACGCCTTCAGCCAGCGTTTTAATTGGCATCCACGTGAAGGCCCGGGCGGGCGTGGAACAGGGCAGCCCGTGAGCGCCGGCGCTCCTCCCGTGGCCCTGTGTCTACCAGCACCGGAGACGCGGGTGGGTGGGTGTGGATGAACAGATCGGCACGACCCGGCAAAGAGTCGGCTCCGCGAGCCACTCTTCCTGGTAGAAGCCCAGTTATCAGAGCGCCGCCCCTTCCTGTACCTGTCTCACCCGTCGGCCATCGGTCACCGACGGCGGGGCTCCACTGTGACCTGTAGCAGAGGCCCGTCTGCCCAACCACGGCAGGTGGTGTTGGGGCACCGTTAACTTCACTCTTCCTGCACACACGGGAAAACAACCTGGCTCTTGTTAAGGTGAGGGGGTGGGGGGTGGAAGAGGGCCTCGAGGGGACAAATGGTGATGGAAAAACGAAACAAAACAAGAAACGTGTTCTGGTGAACCAGCTGCTATCACCTCGCACTGGTCAAAGGAACACGGGGTGCCATTTTCTAACCCACACACAGCAGGCTTGACCCCAACCTAGCAGGACGAAGTCACAGAAGGTGGACTCAATTAGTCACAACCACCACCCACCACTACACATTTATTCAGGGGGGCTCTGATGCCCCATGGTTTTCCCTGACAGGAACGAGGCGTCTTCAGCATCTGAAGCCCCTTGACGGAGCCGGATCCAGGGAACACTTCACTGGGCCTCCAAAGCCGAGAGCCCAGGACACCGGTGATTCTCATGCTCACTGAGAGCCCCCGTCCGTGCTGATGCTGGCTCTCCGGCCCCCCCGTGATCCCGGATTACTAACTGGCAACCAGGGCCCAGGCACCACCTCGCTCCTTCTCAGACATCCCTGCCACTGGAGGGCCCCTCCCGGCCCAGCTCGCCGGGGGCCCTGCTGCCCCTTCAACAGGCCTCGACCCCCCTGCCTTCCTCGGCCAACGTCCTCGTTCCCCTGGGGGCACGCGATGCGCGAGATATGTGCCCCCGGCCTCCTGCTCCTTTTTAAAGGAGGGATCTAATTACTATACACATTCTTTCCTTTTGTCCTAGTTGATTTTTGTATAAAAAGGAAAGAAAGAAAATCCTGGATATTTTTAAATCGTAAAGACTAGAACTCGTGTGCACTGGACCAAACACAATTCCCTTCCTCCTTCCTTTCAGACTAGTCCTTAGGCGACCAAAGCAGGACCTGCAGACCGCACAGGCATTTCTACCCCGTTGCGTAACTCAGGGACCAGAGCAGAAGGAGCCGGAGGTGAAATGTGCACCGACAATGCTACTGTGAGAATCGCAGGAGAGAATGAGTACGTGACAGGCTTGGCCCGCACCCAGCACAGTGTGTGCTCAGCTAACCCAGCTGTTCTGGTCGGGCCAGGTGTGTGCTCAGAGCCTGCACCCAAGCACAGAGTGTGCTCAGCTAACCCAGCTGCTCTGGTCCGGCCAGGTGTGTGCTCAGAGCTCACACCCAGCACAGAGTGTGCTCAGCTAACCCAGCTGCTCTGGTCCGGCCAGGTGTGTGCTCAGAGCTCACACCCAGCACAGAGTGTGCTCATCGAACCCAGCTGCTCTGGTCGGGCCAGGTGTGTGCTCAGAGCCCGCACCCAGCACAGTGTGTGCTCAGCTAACCCAGCTGCTCTGGTCGGGCCAGGTGTGTACTCAGAGCCCGCACCCAGCACAGAGTGTGCTCAGCTAACCCAGCTGCTCTGATCGGGCCAGATGTGTGCTCAGAGCCCGCACCCAGGACAGTATGTGCTCAGCTAACCCAGCTGCTCTGGTCCGGCCAGGTGTGTGCTCAGAGCCCGCACCCAGGACAGTATGTGCTCAGCTAACCCAGCTGCTCTGGTCGGGCCAGGTGTGTGCTCAGAGCCCGCACCCAGGACAGTATGTGCTCAGCTAACCCAGCTGTTCTAGTCGGGCCAGGTGTGTGCTCAGAGCCCGCACCCAGCACAGAGTGTGTGCTCAGCTAACCCAGCTGTTCTGGTCGGGCCAGGTGTGTGCTCAGAGCCCGCACCCAGCACAGAGTGTGCTCAGCTAACCCAGCTGCTCTGATCGGGCCAGATGTGTGCTCAGAGCCCGCACCCAGCACAGAGTGTGCTCATCTAACCCAGCTGCTCTGGTCGGGCCAGGTGTGTGCTCAGAGCCCGCACCCAGCACAGTGTGTGCTCAGCTAACCCAGCTGCTCTGGTCCGGCCAGGTGTGTGCTCAGAGCCCGCACCCAGCACAGTGTGTGCTCAGCTAACCCAGCTGTTCTGGTCGGGCCAGGTGTGTGCTCAGAGCCCGCACCCAGCACAGAGTGTGTGCTCAGCTAACCCAGCTGTTCTGGTCCGGCCAGATGTGTGCTTAGAGCTCACACCCAGCACAGAGTGTGCTCAGCTAACTCAGCTGCTCTGGTCGGGCCAGATGTGTGCTCAGAGCCCGCACCCAGCACAGAGTGTGCTCAGCTAACCCAGCTGTTCTGGTCGGGCCAGGTGTGTGCTCAGCTGGCAGACCCTCCGCAGGAACCCAATTCCGAAGCTGCTCGTCTCCAGACAAGCAAACCAAGCTCCGGGGGTTCAGAGGCGCACCCAGCACTGCACAGGGCCTGCAGAGCCCGAGGACACCGATGTTTCTCCAGCACATTCCACACTCCTCTTCCCGTGCCGTGCCGGCTTTGTGCACACCCCCAAGTGCGTGTCGCGCCGAAAAAGCCACAAGGTCCCGGATGTGCCGGTGGTTTCCAAGGCATGAGCTGGACCCAGTCAGAAAGGGAAGAGTGAAGGACAGAACGGCTAATCGAGGCTGAGTCTGAGGACGTCGGTCAATGATTACATAGCCGGCCAGCTGCTTTCCCGGTCTGGGGTTTGATCTCCCACCTTGGCGGTTTCTTTGGTGTCGCTGTGTTCAATCCCTGTACCCCGTTTCAGCTGTCTGCTGGGGTCTAGCCATGAGCACGCAGGCACCACGGGGGTGGGGAGGGGTCACAGGGCAGCGACTCCCTCTTGTGGACCAGCAAGACAGCCACAGATCAGGACAGTGTGTTGGCTCTGAATTCCACTGTCCCTTTCCTTCTGTCTAGCCATAAAATAGGAAATACAATGTGACAGCAGGAAAATGAAACAGTCCCTGTTTGCGAACCGTGGGCTTTTATGATGAACACTCTTCCAGGAAACGAGGAGATGGTGCTCGGGCTCTGCTGACATCACCTCACGCATTTCGGAGCCACATTGGCATTCGGACCGCAGAGCATGACCACAGCGATGACTTCACTCTGGGGCGAAGGGCAACTGGTCTCCACCTCCTAGCGCCGCGCTGCGAGTCAGAGCACCGATGCAGCAGAGGACACAGGCGAGCGCAGTGTCTGCAGACGGCACGTGAAAGCCGACCTCCACGTCACCCCGCACAGCGCGAAGGACAGCCCCTTCGGAATCCGTGCAGGACTCCTGCCCACAGCTTGGTTGGAGAGCTGCTTTTTTTTTTTTTTAAGGAAATTTAAAATTTTGAAAGACATAAGGATTTTTCTTCTCTAGCTCCTAGAGGAGGGCTGTGGGGTGGGGGGTGGAGGGGGACCCTCATATTAACAAAATCCCAAACTCAAAATGAAGCACTGTTCTGCGGCAGACTGTTCACTTTCAATAACGCCATCCAGGGGTTGCTTCTACTACCACAACTCCAGAACACCTTAGACTCCGTCATCTGGTCCCGCTTCCCCACACACAGCACCCACGGCGGGATAACGGCTGTCTGCACCTGACCAAGTCAAGCTGCTGCTTCCCCAGATGGTCACATCATCTCCTTTCCCTTTCTTCTTTCTTCACTGGGGGACGCTATTGACCACACTCTGCCCCATACTGTGAGCATCATTTTGACAACTTTTATTTCGGCCCAGAAATGTTGCCATACTTTCCCCATTAGAGGTCGGTGATGGAACTGAGGCCAAATTTTTATGTTTCCAAATGGGGGCCTTTGGGGAGGGGGAACGGTTACTGGCTGTTGTATTAGATTTAATGTTTCCCTTCCCAAAGGAGTACTTAGAAACTGGCCTCTTCTGTGTAAACACTGCAATACCTTCAAGGCAAGCTGATCTAGACACAGAACACATCCGCCCCACCCACACACATCCACCCAGCACACGTGTGCCTGTACACACGCACACACACACACACAGATACACACGCCCAGGCCTCCAGAGCCCAGCGCCTGGCACAGAAACCATCACCCCCGACAACCACACACAAAGCACACCTTTCCAAGTCAACGCCAAGGCGCCAAGGCACAGGGCTGGTAGGTCCGTGCAGCGCACCAGCGCCCAGGGGAAAGGCCCCCACGCCCTCCCCCGCCCAGGCCGCTCACCGTGTCCAGGGTCGCAGTAGCCCCAGTCCGCCTGGCCGCGGACGCTCAGGTAGAAGCACCAGGGCCGGCCCGCGCCGTCGGGGCTCCGGCAGAAGTTGTGGCGCTGCCCCCGCAGTGAAGCCCAGCCCGACGGGGGCGACCTCTCGAGGAAGGGCGGCACGTCCGCCCAGCGCAGGCACGGGGCGCCAAAGTCCGTCACGTTGACCCAGGGCCCGCCCGCGGGCCAGGCTCCGGGGTGCGGCCGGGGCGCGTGCCCCGCGTGGAAGGCAAGCGGGCGCGGCGCCCGGGGCTCCAGCGGGGACAGGGGCGTCCTCAGCGGCCGCTGCGGGGTGGAGAGGTAGTGAGGAAACTGGGGACCCGCCGGGGGCCGATGGCGGTAATGGAGGGGATAGCCCAGGGCCGGATCAGAGGTGACCACTTCGGGGAGCGCCCCTAAGAGCAGAGCCAGCACAAAGCGGACGGGCGTCATGGTGCCAGAGCAGCAGGCTTCGGTCCATGTCCCTGCTCCCTGCTCCGCGGGGCCTGAGGAGGGGCGGAGGGGCGGGGCGGGGCTCGGCGTCCCTCAAGCCCCCCCCCCCAGAGTCCCCCCCCAGAGTCCCCCACCGAGCCCCCGCCGCCCGCGCGCGGACCGCCTCCACTCCCGCGCGCCTCCGCGCCAGCCGCTCGGGGCGCCGGGATCTGCAGCTCCGCGGAGCGCCGCCGGCGGAGACGACCGGCCGGAGCGGGGACCGGAGCCCAGGTAGCCGGCGGCCGCACGAGCCAGACGCCGCCCCCTGGCTGCGGGCCGGACTCCGAGCGGCCCCGCCCGGCCTCCGCTGCCAGCCGCCCGGACGCCCAGCCCCGCCGCTGGCACCGCCGCTGCGCCCGAGCCAGGCCGAGAGCGGCCGCCCCGCCGCCCGGTGCCCGCAGGCAGCACCGCCGCACCTCGCGCCCGGAGGCCCAGCCTGGCCCCCGTCCCTGCGGCCCTCTCCTTGACCCCGCTCGTGTCTGGTTTTCTCGGGGTTACAAGCGAAGCGTGGATGAGTCTAGTTGCAGCTCTCCCCTGACAAGTCCCGGGGTGCAAGCTGTCCAGCCCGTGAGGAACGTTGAAGCCATTTTACTGAACTGCGCCCCATCCCCCCTCCAGGGCAGGACGCGTCCAGTGCTCAGCACGCTGCCCACACGCACCGGGCGCAGGTCAACATTCGCGGGAATGAACCCCCAAGCCGACCCGGGAAGGGAGCTGGGGCCCGTCCACTTCCTGCCTCCCACCTTCCTCCGGGCCCGGGCAGCACCGCCGGTCTGGTTGTTGGTGGGAGGCAGTGGGGCCTTAATACCAACTGTCCTTCCTTCCCGGAGAAGACTCCCCCGTCTCCATCCTCTCCAAGAGCCCACCCCGCTAACACCTGCCCTGAAGCCGCCGCCTGCTGCCCCCCCAAAGCTCCCTGAGCCCTTCAACCGCCCACCGACCCCTCAAAAAAGTTGCCTTAGAATTTTTACAACCACTCAGCTGATGTCTTAGGGCTTCCCTTTGGGTGGTCCGGACAGCCACAGGGAGGTGACCTCTTACTGTCTGCTGTAGGCACGCTGCAGTGTGAGGAGGACTACACCCCATAACATGATGCACCCCGAAGAGAACCTGGGCATGACTCAGCTGTTTATCTTAACACCTTGGTGTCAAGGAGAAAATGCATGGATTCCCTACACCTGGTTCAAATCATCCATCTTAGTTTAACTTTGCAAACAATCTGATTAGGTTTTTCTCTTTAGTCCTATTAATGAAACATTTCACTTCACTTCTCTCTGAGCGAACATGTGAATTCAAGGTGTTTTCACTCGAGATGCCCTTACCCACTATGTCACTGATACTTTCTGGCTCCGCAGTGACGTTAACCTTGTACGTGGGGAGAGAGTGCAGGATAAAACACACAGGCAGGGGAGGTGGGTTCGCTTACTTCAGGAGGGGGTGACGGAGTTGACCAGCCACAGATTCGTGATATGTTAGGTGACAGTCTTAGTGGGGGCACCCTTCCCCTCTAACTGCCTTTCCTCCTCTGCCCCTCACCTGCTGGCCCAGGCAGGCTGGTCTTGGGTCCGGCTGGCAGCACCCCTGCTCCACCCACTTCCCTGTGAGGCTCCTACTGTTCTCACTTCCCGAGGGGCTGCAGCAGGCCCGTCCCCACGAATGTGAGCAGGAGAAACGGGGAACCGAGAGCAGCGAGCGGAGGAGGAGGCCGCTGGGACCTGAGCGGCGGTCTGGCCGGAGGCAGTGTCCAAGCGGAGGGCTGGGCGTTCTGGGGCCTGCCTGCAGGGAGGGGCCCGGAAGAGCGGAGAGCACAGTGCAGCGGCCCCCAGACCGGCGCACATCTGGATCCCATCACTTACGTTTGGAAACACACCTTTCTTAGAAAGTAAAATGGCAGCTGCGTAGCTGGACTGTGGATTCGGGAGCCTCGGCCAGTCTGTGCGGCTCACGGGCAGAGCGCCCTTCACACAGACGTGCGTGCGCATTGCTGCCCGCTCTGCCCACATCCCCTTCCCGCCCCTCTCAGTCACCTGGCTGCCCCCAAAGGCAGAGGTGTGGGCGCCCAGTCCCTCAGCCCCTCCCCACATCGCAGTGCGTGCCGCTGGGGTGTGGGGGTGCCGGGAGAAACCCTCTTCTGCCTCGGTGAGGCCCCACCTAGCCACAGCTCTCCCCAGATTCCCAGACCCTCTAAGCCAAAGAAAAGGGGTGGGGGGCAGCTCCATCTTGTTAGAGCTGCAAGAACCCACTGCTGATCCCCACCCCACCCGCAGCAACAAGGGAGCGAGGCAAGGGGAGGGAAGGAACAATGGGCACCCTGCGGACTCCCACCACAACACTGCAGACCGCGGGGCCACACAACCCTCTTGCCACCTCCGCCACCTCCGCCACCCGATTCCTGGGGCCTAAGCGGTCGCTCAGACTCTCAGCTGAAAACCGAGGGGCGTGGAGGGGTCTCCTGCCCCAGGGCAGCAGGCAGGGTGGGCAGTCTTGGGGTCCATCAGCTTAGCTGCCTGTCAGACGGCTCGGGGCCTGTCCAGGGCCAGGGGAGGCTTGGCAGCATCAGACATGGCCGGGACTCTAGGTGGGGGAGGCAATGAGGGAACACACGTCTAGTTAAAAGTGCAATGAAATAAAAGACCCAGCAGGCAAGAGCGAGTTGTTTCCTGGGTATTCTAGCCTGTGGATTCTGGAGACTAATGATAGATGGGTAAATTGTTTTAGTATTTATAGTGACATAAATTTTGTCCCACAACTTATTGGCCTAAAACAACTGGCATCTATTACCTGAGTTTCTGAGAAGCCGGAACCTGGGAGCGGCTAAGCTGGGTGTTTCGGGCTCAGGGACTCTCAGGAAGTCGCAGCCCAGATGTGGACAGGCCTGCACCCCCCTGAAGGCTAGACTGGGCTGAGGGTCTGCTTCCATCCTCACCCACAGGCTCGGCTGGAGGCCTCAGCGCCCACCACGTGGAGTTCTCCACAGGGGCTCACAGCGTGGCACCGGGTTCCCAGGGAGCAAGAGAGTGACCAAGACAGAGCCGCAAACGTTCACCCCTCATCTGAGAAGTGACGGACCGTCACTCCGTAGACAGTCTGTTGCCCACATAGTAAACGACCCTGGATGGTCAGGAGGGCATGTCCTGCCTTCACGTCTGAGACGAGGCTATGAGTCTCTGAAGCTGGCCTGGCTTCCGCAGTTGTGTTCTGCAAAGCTGCTCTCACGTAGAATTGCAACAGTTACTTGTAGTGTGGCTATATATTTTTTCCAAGTGCTAAGCAGCTTGGGAGTATATTGTCAACTGAATACTCACTTTCCTTGTAACATGGGGTGAGCTGTGAGCAAGTGTCTTAATTTTCCCACAACTGCACCTGCCACTCTACATTATAAGCAGACTCACTCTTGCTCTTTTTGTCTGGTTGCAAGAAAACAATAGATTTTATCAGTGAATTCAGGTATCCAAACTCCCAGTAAAAGATTCCAAAGTGTCCCAGATGCCTGATAAGACTTAATACGTCAACTGTCTGGAGCTAACATTTTTAACAGGAATGGAGAATGCATGGGATGGCCAAAGGGGTTATGGGTTTTCAGGCATCCCTGTACTGAGTCTCAGGGGAGCAGGAACTGGGACAAGGAGATGCCTCCTGAAATCATATCACTTGCAAGGCTGTCTGTGTTACAACACAGCTGAAGACAGAAACTCAAAACAAAATAAAAACGGCCACTCTGATGAGATTGCAGCCCTTCCAGTTACATTGTATCCACTACCTGTAAAACAAACAACTCCCAGCATTTTGCAATGCAACAGAGTTTCTTGTCCAAGAAATTAAGCTACACATATTCCAGTTACTGTCCCAGATGCCCTAACCCACGCAGAAACCCCGAAGCATCTGAGGGTTACACTTCTGCATGAGACTGCTATAACACCAGAGACAACATCTTCTGGTAGAGCTGAAATCCGAATTGCTTTTTCTCCTGCCCGTTCATCAGACAGTTACACTGTGAAGGACATAGGCCTCGTGTGGGGTCTGAAAGATAGATCCAGTTTTGAAACAGAGACTCATTGGCAGTATTTATGGCTGAGTTGTGTGATAAAACAAACCCAAGGCATTGAGAATATGACGTTGCTCCAGACTCGTCTCTATTTTTAGAAGGCGTGGCGAAGAAAGGGGCTCTCTCTATACATGACTGAATGTCTTTGCTATCGAATGGGCACCAGAGAGATGAAGTAGGGCCAGTCAGTCACAAGAGAAACAACACTTGGCATGCAGTGTCGGCTGTATCCGAGCTCACAGCTAAGTTTGAGCAAAGACAGCTTTATGGAAGATGCTGTGTTTGATGTAAGCCATATTAACTAGCAAGGTTTCTGTCTATGAAAGAATGCCCGTTAATGTAATGCATATGTCTGTGCAGTGCTTTCCTCTAGAAATACTATAGGTAAATTATTTCAAAGAATCAGCAATAACATTGAATGACATGAACCTTTAGAATGTAACTAGCTCAACAGGACATACAATGCTAAAGCAGAGGGAATAAACTCGCTCTTGAAGAGTTTAAGGTGTTTAAACACTGAAAATCAACACAAAAACCTAAACAATAACATCCGTTTTAAAAAGATAATCCTTTAATGCCATGATTTCTTTCGCGATACAAATATCGACCGTGACACATAATAGTCTTTGCAAGCTTTGCATTCTTATTCCTTCGGAGCTGCCTGCCTGTTGAGCCCTGGCTCACATTCAGAACTTACTTTTAGCAGCATAAAATGTATAGGCAGGGAAGAGTCAAAGAAACAGTCTTGACCATTTAGATTAAAAAACACGAGTTGACTTTAATCGAACATGTTCAAGTTCCTGCACTCATCACATTTTCAAACATTCATTCGATACAAAGTTGTTCATCGTTCCCAAGCTCAATAATAGGCATTATTATCCCACTGGGAACGAAGGAAACTGAGGCTCTGGGCTTC